TACCTCGCATGGTGTGGCCGCTCTCTTGCTCCGCGTAGTCATGAAGCTGCTCCCAGCCCGAACCCCGGAGAGCCCAAAAATCCCGCTCAGCACGAGTGGAGAAGGTAGTCGGTGAAGAGCTGCTCTGCCGAGAAAACCATCCCTTTAGGCGGACGCCGTGGCCGCAGGGTGACGTTTGCCGCCGCTGCCGCCGCTATGTGAGCAGTTTTGACGGGGGTGGTGGTGACTGTTTTGATGGTTGTTTGTTTGTTTGTTTCTGGAAGGGTGCAAAAAATGTTCTGGCTGGCTGGTACCTGGGTTTTGTTTTGCTTTGCTTTTGCCCTTTTTTTTTTTTTTATTTCTCTCCAATGTGCTTGCTTTTAAAAAATGCCACCGCCTCCGGCTCAGAAGATTTCTTTTGTGATCACTTGGACTGAGGAGGAGGAGGAGGAGGAAGGGCAGCAGCAGCAGGAGAGTTGGTGGTGGTTTTGTTAGTTACAAAGAAGAGGGAGAAGGAGCAAGGAAAAAAAAGGAAACAGAAAGAAAGGAAAGAAAGGCGGTGTGGATGGCAGAGCATGTGCGTTTTCACATGACATCTGTGCCTGTTAGCGGATCCACAATGTGAATTTTCACTGTTCAGTTACAGGGAGGAAGGGAGCGAGAGAGAAAGAGAGAGGAGAGAGATGGAGAGAGAGAGCTGAGAAGGGGCTTATACGCGAGGGCGGGTTTGGCCCCGACTTCCAGGCTCCGCCTCCTGTCAGCGCGGCCACCAATCAGTGCCCGGCAGCGCCTGGAGAGGCTGGGACCACGGGGGAGGGGACGGATCCGGCGGTGGGGGCGGGGGTTAGGGATACCGGAGTGGAACGGGGGTTAGGGATACGGGAGTGGAAGGCGGCTAGGGCTGCAGCCGAGAGTTAGCGACTGTCCGGACCCCGCCGAGCCCGAGGGGGAGAAGGGCAGACCGACCGAGGGTCGGGCAGATCTGCAGGTGCCATTCCCTTCCTAAATCAGCACCCTGGCCGGTCCTTCAGAGGCGAGACTTGCCCGGACTCCCTGGGTCCCCCGTTTGTCCCCACACTCGCAATGCCTGCAGGCCCCGCGTTAACTAGTGTTGGATTTATGGCATCACTTTGCCCTGTGCTTTTTCGGTAAACTCCACCTCTCTGTCAGGGGTTTCCAGGGGCAGGACGGTAGCGGTAGAACAACGCAAATCCACTTCCACCACTTTTAGCACAACTATTCTGCAGTCCCGTTCAAGTACTCCTCCTCTTCCTTTAAAAACAGCGTTCAAAAATGCTCCCCGCCCCCCTATTAAAAAAAAAAAAAAAAAAGCACCGAGCTTGTGTCTGTGTGTTCCTTTGTCAAGGAAATTGATTTTTATTGGCGTTTGTAGATTCCCCTGGCCATGGGCCACAGCACCTAAAGGATAACAGCCCAAGTGGTCACCAAGGCCACCTCAGTGATGTGAAGCAAAGTCTGAGGCTAGAAGGTGTGACTGCGTAGTGCTCTTTAGTGCAGGGTTTAGGAAGAAGAAACCTCTTTAGTTGTTTCCAATTACGTTCGCCTATTTAGAAAAGACTGGCATTTAATGTAGGTAAAGTTATTTGTATTCCTTAGGTGAAAATGATCTATAACTATTTATTGATATTTTGCTGAAAAATTGAATGCACATGTTAAAACTGTTCCTTGGCAAGGTTTTCCCTCTCAATGGCCAAAATAAACCTATCATATAAATGATTATATATACTTCCCTTCCTACTGTAGGGAACTTCTCAAATACTTTAATTAGTGATTCTGATAGAGGGCTGAAAAAATTTAGCTCATTGACTGTCTTACGACATAGAAGAGACTATCTGTGAAAATACCTGTTGGCAGAGCGAGCGGACCTCATCTTTTAGGTGCCCATATAATTTGATATTTATTGGTATTTATTCATGCTATGTCATGTAACAAAAAATGTATTGTAGACTTGGCCATTATTTAGTTAGATTGCTTTACACTGACAAGTACTTTTTCCTCCCTGATTGTATAAAAAATGGATTACTTGCCAAATCTTCACCAGTGTTAAAATGACAAGCTTTGCTGTATGCCTTCCATTTGCAAGCCCATGTGTAATTTAAGAAAATTTTAGCATTAGGAGTGAAAGTTGATTGAGTCATTAATTAAACGAAATGAACAAAAGGAAGTTACGGTTCAGAATAGTTATTCCCTCATAAATACTTTTCTCCCAGATTTGTAATTGACACAGTAGTTAATCTTTTAAGATAATATTTAAGGCTCCCTGGTTTTATCATTTTTAATCAAGTAAAATATATTCATCATAACTACATTAAAGCTGCACTAAGTTATGCCTAATTTAGTTGCTTCATTAAAAATTACTGAATATAAAATAGTGAAGAAACAAATTGTGACTGTATTATTTTAATTTTATGTGCTTTAAGCAGAGGTGCAGGCATATTGAAAATTCCACAGCCTTTGTAAACATTATAATTATTATTATAGCTGTTATTATTTTAGCTTTTCATTTCTCATTAAAAAGGAATTTCTTAAAATTCAGGAATTGTACCTATTTTATGTAGCTTTCAGTTTCAAAGCATTCATTGAATTCTGAAATTTCCATATAGCGCTGTAATATGTGTAATCCTTGAAAAAGGCAGTTAACATGTACATGAGAATACTCTCCCCCTCCCCCCACATTTTTATATGTCCTTTGTTTATGGATTAAACAATGCATAATTTTGCTTAAAACATATTTTGAATCCCTTCTGAATATTCTTGAAATAAACTTAATTAGAAATAAAGGCTTTATCTTATTTCATTTTCCAAAATTATGTATATACAGGACTTCAAAAAACTTGTGAGAAGATGAAATTAAGTATGGGTTTATTTTGGTGTCAAAATTTTCAAAAGCTCACATAGATTCTTTATAATAGGCATTTTTCTATGAGGTTTTTGAAGACTCTTTGTATTTATATTTGCAAAAGTGTGTATTTTCTCTTTTGGGGTGGAATAAATGCTAATCACTGGTTATAATGTAATGGTCTGAGACATTTTGGTCTCTCTAAAATTTTAAATTGCGTTCTTGAGCGTTTCTAATAACATTTACATTTATTCCAATTAAATAGAACTCATTAATGTAAAATAAATATTCAGGATTTAAATAAAAGAAGCCAACATTTTGTAAGAAGTCACAAAATACTTGTATATAATCTGGTGGTTTTATACCCAGCAAATACCTATATTTCAAGTGACATAATAATAATATGTTTATATCATGTCTTTATTCGTATGATGTATGGTATCAGTCATTTTATTTGAATGATTGTGGAACTGTTTGGTCTCTAATAAGCTTGGATTTAACTTTTGGTTTTGAGTCTAAAGTATATGTAAGTTGCTAGCTAAATTTTGTTTCATTTAAATGCCGATGAATCAGTCACATTGTACCACACTCAATCTCAAGAAGTGGTGTAAGTTCACTTAGGCTTTTCTGCTTGCTACTTTTCTCACATGTCCATACCCCTCAGGTTTAGCTATGAGGCCACAAAGTAGTAATGACAAGAAATATCCTGAAAGAGACAAAGCTTTACCATAAACCAACCAGGTAGGGTGACTAGAACATTTAGCGTTATTTTCTCCCCAGAATACTTGAACCCAAATAGGACATCATGGATCATTCCATTCTGAGCTGGTCAGCTTTGATAAAGAGAGTATTTTAAATAATTATGAATCACAGAGGGATAATGGCAATACTGATAACATTACATTGGAAGTGACTGAGAGATTGGGTACAGTAGACCCCGTTTAGGGGCTGTGTGATTGTGAAATCAGAGGAAGAGATATTAAACTGCCTTTAAATGTTGGAAAAGACAAATGAAAGAACTTTGAACATTTGAACCCACTAAAAGTGGAAAGGCTGAAGTACTGAGCTCCCTGTCATTGAAGGCATCCAAGAAAAGGTTGAATAAAAGGTTCTGACAAAGACATTGTAGAGCAGAGATTTCTTTTTCTTTTCTTTTCTCTTTTTTTTGAGAGGTTTATTTATTTATTTATTTATGTATTTATGTATTTATTTATTTATTTATTGCTATAGGGTGCATGTGCTCTCCAGAAAGACAGAGACAGAAAGTGAGAAATCACCTTCCAGGAGGGATGGCCACACAGCAATCCCTTCTCCTCCATTCTCCTTTCCGGATCTTGGATACGCATGCACTCATGGGTCCGGGACTCGAACTGTGGTCAACTACATGGGAGTCCAGCAACATAGCCATTATACTAACTGCTAGTCCCAAGCAGAGATTTGTATAGCAGGCTCGAAATTGCCTAGAGGACCTCCAAGATTCTGTGTAGCCCTAAGTGCATTTGGGTACAGATAGAGAGTTGCCGTTGCCCTAGCAGTTGCATCAGAGGTTGCTCCTGACCTGAGCATGCAAGCTCTGAGAGCTGTAGCCAGGGGTCCCCTGGTTTTGAAAGAGCTCTTGGACATTCATAGGTGTTAGATAACTGTTTGTGGAATGGATGGAACTGTCTGGTCTCCTTTAAACTTATACTTAGCTTTTGGCTTTGGGCCTAAAGTACATTCTAAGTTGCTAGCTAAACTTTGCTTAACTTAAATGACTACTTTTTCTGCTGGATACGAACCACAATTAGAGTGAAGACTGATGAAGATTTCTTCTCTCTAAATTTCCAGTTAATAACACACACACACACACACACACACACACACACACACACACACCATTTGTATTCTAAACTCTCCAAATTTGATTAAAAAAGGCAGAGAGACAGAGACAGAGAGAGAGAGAGAGAGAGAGAGAGAGAGAGAAACAGATTGTTGAAATTGAAGAAAGCTAAGTCATTTTCATATTTGTAACTTTTCACTTTCATTCCCAGGTAGAACATCTTAATCTTTGAGTACTCTGTTCTACTTGATTTGGATACAAGTTCTGCCAATTTTCCAAATGAAAAAAAGAAAGCAAAATATTAAAAATGTGTAGCTTGTGCTTTATGTAATAAGTTGAAAAACAGGGCATGGGTCGAAACATAAATTAATGCCAATATGTGGAATAATGGTAACGAGGCTAGCTTTAGGGAAAGGACTAAATATACAGGTCAGGTAAAAAAGGAGTTAACATTTATTGGACGACTCACATGGGCCATCATCCTAATTACTCTTTAGAAGAACCTACCTGTTGCAGGTCTGGCGGGTGGTGGGGTAGTTAAGGGTGGTGGACTTCCACATGGCAGACAACTGTTTGAGTCCCAGACCTGGCAGCCTCTCATTTTCCCTCTCTTTCTCTCACTCTATCCTTCTCTGGTCAAATTAAAAAATAAGTAAATAAATAAGTAAAGTTAAATAAAATAATTATTAAAAAAAAGAACCTACCTGTTGTACATTATATCTCTTCCTCTCCTGTACTCCAACTTTTTCTTTTTCTTTTTTAATAGATAAAGGACAGAAACTTATGGAGATATGTAATTTGTCTAAGACCACAAATCTAAAAATATTAGATCCAGAATTCAAACCCAATATATCCACAAAAAACGTTTCATAGTACAGATAGGTTCTCATTTTTCTATTTTTCAGTCCTGCAGTCATAGAATCTAGAATCTTGCCTTGTGAATAGCAGATGATTAAAACACATTTGTGAATGATCAAATGGACATTTGAATCCTTCTCCTCCGC